TTGTCATTAAAAAAATAGCAATACCTCTTTATGCATCTAGTTGTTAATAATGGCCGATCAGTGCCCATTGCAACAATGCAAGTGTGGCGATTTTCTGAGTACCCCTATTGGTATAACTAGCTTGAAGTTGTGTACTATCAGTTGTTTGATTGGTTGATCTGATCTGCTACGACCTTGCTTGAGTTGTTGAGCACGGCCTGGAATTAGTGAGGTAAAGGCGCACTAATTATCTTGCTCTATTGCTTAGTCTCCAGGAGTCCACCTGGAGAGAGCCGCCCTTGTTGCGAGCCCCAATGTACGACCCCCCTGACATGTGACTAAGCCAAAACGGAGCCCTGAGCTAGGAACGGAGAACTGAACTGGGAATTCATCATCAAGTGAGCTATTCTAGTTATGCACATTCGCTCTGATGGAGTGTCAAAGTCGGGGCTATGGATTGCATTGGCGGGTATTATTGACTTCATCATATTTTAGAGATTTGATTGATTTGATTACTGGATCATTATGGAGGGATGTGCTGGGGACTGAAATTGCTTGTTGGGGACTGGAATCACTTGTTGGGGACTGAATGGGCCGGTTGTATAGAATGTATGATGGGTTGTACATGCTAGGGACAAGTGTTGGAGAACCTGAGACGTTTGTGGACAACCTCAGGGTTTCTGCACGGGGATTGTAGCTTTGGAGGCTTCCCAAAAGGTGGCTAGGACCGGGGACTGGGACACCCTTGTCCGAATATAAATACGCACGGAACGTTCTTGTTAAGACTCACTCTGGTCCCACCATCGCTGTTGTGCATGTGCCTTTATTTCCGAACTGTCCTCGGACAGTGTGTGTGCTGCATCCCATTTCCCCTGCCGGGAAGGAGGCGGCCACGGCGTCTCCCGACAATCGGGACCGCATTCGATGCCCATCAGCTCGTTGTGACGGCTGGTCTGGCAATTACGGCTCTGCAGCAGGACAGGACACACCTGGTCTGCATCCGTCTGGCGTGGCCAAGGGACGTGGATTACCGCCACACAATCAGAACATCTAACCCAAATGGCCGAATACCAAGACACCCCAAATCCGCCAAAGCGAAGGACCCCCTTCAGAACACACACCGCAACGTGACACTCACCGCCTGTTCGTCTGCACGCCCCTCCATTCCGGCCCCCACCTCTCCGGCGCCCCGCCGCTTGGCGCGCACCTCTCGAGCCCTGGCGCTCTCCGGTGGCCGATCGCCAGGCCCCAGCCTCGCCGTGGGGCCGCCCCAGGCGCTGCGCATGGCGCCGAGGCGCATCTTCCTCGCGCGCCATGGCGAGCGCGCGGACTTTGCGCTGCCCGGCTGGAGGGAAACGGCCGAGGTGGGCGGACCGCATCGCATCCATCGCTGAATCTGTGGGCTGTTGCCCTTTCGTTGAGACTGCAGATCCCCGCATCTGTTAGACATGGCGCCCCTGCCCCTCGCGCAAATTGTTGTTCTTTCGGCAAGTTGCGGTCTCTCCGGTGATGCGGATCCATCGTAGGCAGCATCGTGCACTGTGGGAGTTGGCCGGCGCCGGCAGCTCGCGGACTGCTGCCTGCGGAACTCGCTCTCCCAACATACTCTGTCTCTCTCTGCACGCGCTTGTTCTCTCTCTCTCTCTGTATGCGCTATCTGTCTCTCTTTCTGTATGCTCGTTCTTTCTCTCTGTATGCGTTCTCTTTCTCTCTGCATGCGTTCTCTCTATCTGTATGCTCTCTCTGTCACTCTCTGCGTATGCGCTGTTTCTCTCTCTCCGATTTCCTCCGTAAGCTCCTCTGTCCCCGATCACCTCCCCCTTGCCATCTTGTAACCGTTCCCGCCTAGCCGCACGGGGCCTTCGCCCATCCTACCAGCGGTGTGCACCTCCGCCAGCGTGGCCGGTGACACGCAGATCAGCGGATCTGACCCAAGGGGCTGGTTGGCGAAGATCAGATCGCAATCTGTCCTCCGTGAGTGCCCTGACCCGTTGTCGGCTCCTTTCTCGGATGCAGAACCCGGATGATCCGCCCCTGACAGTCCGGGGCATGCGCCAGGCGCAGAAACTCGGCGAGAGGCTGCAGGTGGGCTCTTGTTGTTTCGGCTACAAAGGTTCTCCCCTCCTTATATTTTCGCATCTGTGTTTTCGCCTCTACGTTTCGCCTCTATATGTTTCGCCTCCATTTTTTCGCCTCTATTGGTTTTCACCACCACATCTGTCCGCCTCCATGTGTTATGGCCTCCACCCTTTGCGTATGCATCTGCCATCTGGGTGAAAGAGAGGCTTCCATTGAGCTATGCCCCTCGCGCCTTGGTTGCTGCATTATCTTTTTAGTTTCGTCTTTACAACGCGGATGTCATTATCACACCACCTCGCATTTTCTTGTGAGGCGGCTCAAAGTTCAGACCTTGTTCGTTGGGCTGTGGGTGGCGCTCGGGCTCTCATTTGTGGCGTTTGGGAGTCGGAAAATGGAAAGAAATGAAAACCAACGCAACAGGGGACCCTGTCGCACGCTTTGGACATGCCCTCCTGTGCAACAGTGCTTTGATGCTCCAAGCACAACGGGATCAACAGACAAATGGCAGGAAGAATTGCACCTGTGGGAGTCCGTATGAGTGGCTGCGAAGGACAGGGTGTCAAGATGGGGCCAGCATTGCCCGCCTGCGCCTTCACTGCCTGTGCTGTGAGTCTTTACATTCCTTTTGTAAAGAAGTTGCAAGACGTTCCTGTTGCACCTGCAAGCCGGTGTTGGCCCCTCGATGAGTCCTCAGCAGATTGGCCAGAATGTGATTTCCACAAACACTGAGGTTGAAATTAATAAGGCAATTGCAAACCATTGGGAGCCAAGCCTACCCTGGCAGCAGGCAAGTCCTGGAAAGTGGCCGAAACTAAGGAAACTTGTGCTTGGTCAGGGGGAGGAGATCAAGTTTCTGTACTGCAGCCCATTTCTTCGCACTGCCCAGACAGCACACCAGGTGGCCACTGTGCTGGACCTACCAGTGCGTGTGGAGCCTGGCCTTGGCGAGTGCCTTCTTAAGAGTGAGTTTCTTTTCGTTCTTTTCAGCACTGTTGAGAAGATTAAGATGGTCCTTTGTTTGCACCTAACGAAACTTGGTAGGACACTGCTGTTGCACCCACAAGGCGATGATGGACAAATTCTGTCTCCAACAGCGTTCCATTTACCTCAACATTTTAAAAGGGTTTTCAGTTTGAGTTGTTGCTGGTGTTGATCAGATTGTATGGACCCTCAAAATTTATGATTATTGCAGTCTGAAAATTGTCAATGAGTGTTTTCTCTTTCAATCATATGCCCAGACTGTGGACCATATCCATTGTCATAGTTTTGTGTGTGCTGTGCCTCTCCCATATGTTGGTCAATATCCCAGCATTCTCACAATCTGGAGACCCACCTTGTACATGGGGCTAGCACGATTTAATTGCTTGTAAAATACAGGAACTTCAACCTATGAACTCACTGAAGGAATAGAAAGCGAAAAGTAAAACCAAAGAAAACAGAAACGAAGCAACGAAAAATAAATGCAAAGATCGAAAACAGAATGCTAGTTGTGATATTGTGGGTCAGGCTCTTATGGAGCAAATGAACACTGGTAGATGCTGCAGGCATCATTGCCTGCATGGTACATGGGCTGGGATTTGCCACGTGTTGTTGACATTCAATCCATAGAAATGTGGATCTGCCTAAGGACTGGCATTGCAGGTCACTACACACTACACAGGTCAGAGAGAGAATCACAGGTGTACTTGGTTTTAGTTCGTAAATGCAAACTTCACATTCCCAGACACGCACCAAGGCATTGGAGTAAATTGCTTCAGCTTGAGGCATTATCAAAGTTGCAAAGCTGCCTTGAAGGCAATGCTTTCGTTTATGGCACTAATGTGGCATCCCCCGCTGGGGCACAGCTGCCTGGCCAGTGGCCATCCATCCAACTTTTTGGACACATTTTTCTCCCCAATTTTGCATTTCTGTAACCCCACAACCCCTGGTGCTGCACAGCAACACAACATTTATCAGCCCTCTGGCCTCCAGTTCCTGAGTGGTGTTTTGGTTGATCCCAGCATGTGCAATGAGCCGTTCTATCATTTTTTGTCTTTTGCTTTCGCTCTGCCTCAGGTTGCATGTACAGTTGGGACAGCTCTTGTGAGTGGAAAAGTCCCATGTCTGCCAGAAGGGAACAACATCACCACTATGTCCTCTGTGAGGACGAGTTTAGTCACAGGAGCTGATGGGATTATACAGGGCTGTACGACAAGATGCCGAAGCTGAGGAGCCCCCAGGAGCTCAAGGAGTGGCATGACATGCCATTGATTGATGCCACATACACTTCCAAGTGGGCTCTTAAGTACCCTGAGTCCTACAAGGAGGTCTTCGAGAGGTGCAAACTGGTGTTTAGGGAGATGGCCGAGAGGCACAAGCAAGGAGATGTCCTACTGGTGGCTCATGGCCTCCCACTTGAGTATATGGTGTGTGGCTCAGCCCTTGGATGAGAAAAGAACTGAGAAGCTGGCAGAATGCATGTGGTGGTCTGCTCTGATTTCATCTGTTATTGTGGCAGTAGAAGCAATGGCTCTACACCTGCTCCTGACGTTGGCTTACAGATGAGAGTGGTTGTTTTGCAGCTTTGGGCAGTGTGGGTTTTGCAGACACCTCACAAAAAAAGAAAGTTGGAACAAAACCTCATGCTGAGTAGCAACTGGCCATGCTAACTTGTCCCAAGTGGTGTGCATATTTTGGTGTGAGCTTCATCTGCCAACAATTTGTCACTATGTTGTGGGCTCAAAGCCTTGTCAGCGACAGTTTGCAAGGGCAGCCACATGTGGGTGGCACCAGTTGTAGGGTTCATTCATGATTAGTGGATTAGGGACGTCGTTTGTGGGTGGTGGTGGGGGAGGGCCGGAGAGAGCGTCGAAATTGTAAGCTTTTTGGCTGGAGGTGCATGGCTTTTATGTACTGCCAAATCTGCCACACTTATCCACACTCTACAGCCTTGCGACTGCATTGGATATGCTATTGATTGGTGCCTTAAGTCGACTTCCAAGGAGAGGATCAAGTGCTGAAGGCAGAGATGGCCTCCTGAACGACGCTGAATGCAGCGATTAGCTGTTCATCATGCTGTGTTTGTTGCTTGTTTTGCTAAAGTGTTGCTGATGCTACTAATTTAGTACGTTGTATTGGTATTGCTGGATTTTCGCACTGCATTTGTGCTTGTTTACCAATTACTCACTGTTGCAGGCAAAGGCTGCTGCTCCCCATGCCTTCAAGCAGGGCAATATGACGTACTGCTGTCTCACAGAGTGCATCCAGAGCGAGGGCCAATGGAGCTTCGGGGCTTTCATGGAGGTGGGTTCGCTCTCTGCTCTCGCTTCCTTCGATCGGTAGCAACCAGAGCTTGTGTTGGGTACAGTTGAAGGCGATTCAGAAGCATGGGATTATCTTTTCTGCCAAAGGAAATTGAGAGGAAATTAAAGCAGAAATGAAATGGAAAACAGGAACATACCTCAGGACAGTTAAAGGAGCTGGGATCTCTGAAATGCTTGTCGGTGCTGGTCATGAGTGCTGGAAGAAAATCTCTGAAATTTGAACTGGGCCATTCTGCCTACCACTTGATGAGAGCAGTTTGGCAAGCAGTTGCTGGCTTGCAATAAAATAAATGGCAACCAAATGAAGTACTGCTGAAGACTGATCATTCCCTGAGAGGCAGAGGGTACCGGAACGTTTGCCAGCATGGCTGAACAGAGTACCGTCTTAAGCGTTTCACTAGGTAGTGTTGCATGTAGTACTGCACAATGTACTCGAAGCTAATCAAAGAAAAATGTCTGCAAAGCGCCGGGATACATTGGTCATTGAAGTGTCCTTCCAACCGCCAACTCTCGGACTCCCTACAGCGTATACCCTGTGCTTCCCTCTTGTGGTGAAGTGCTGTATCGCGCTGCGGTATTTCATTGACTATTTGATCAATCACACTGGCAGAATGGCCCATTTACTCAGTTATTGTCTGTTTCGAATTGAATTGAAATGTACCAAAGTGATGAAAATCGTGCTCTAGTTGTTGATGGCGTGTTGAGCTGGACCTGAATGTGTGTTTAAATAGCCATGTTCTTTGCTCCCGATTGTAATTAGCGTTGTTCTATTCCGAGACAATTTTCATCAGTGCTGCTTGTTCGTTTGGTATTTCATATACAAGCGATTTGAGTATTAACTCTTCAATTATGTTTTGTCCTCTTGTCGCCCACCCACTTGTCCAGTTCATTGCCTTATCGGCTGGGCTGCCAACTGTTGGCTTGCCAACTGTTTTGTGAAATAAATTGTCGTGACTTCATTCACTAAAGACGTTTGCTTTGGTCGACGCCACAGGACGGCTTCCTTGAAGAGAGGCAAGATATGACGGACGCCAAAGCTCAGGAGGCCCTGTGGAAATCCTCCTAGCACAACGCCGGCATGCAGAGTGCAGAGCGCAGCACACGACGCACTGCTGGGGCCAGGGTCTGCCTTCCTGAGTGCCATTTAGGGGTGGTGCCGGCGACATCTGTGCAGGGAAGCTGCCAGGCAGTCGTTCTGAATCTGACAGTGTCCGCTGCGGGCAGATTCAGCGCTGTTGGGAGTGGCACGGCCAGGTCGCGGCCATTTCTGCTGATAGAGTTGGGCGCTGGTAGCGAATTGGCCTGGGGATGTGTTGTACTTCAGTGCTGGGAAGGGCCCTCGGGTCCTGGAGGGCTGGAGGGGCGTCGATCGACGCAGGGGAGTTGTTGGTGCCGTTTCGCTTGCCTGCACGGCAGTATGACAGTACAACGGCACAGCAGAACAGCGGCACACCAGGACAGTGGTGCAGCTGTCCCCAACCATGCTTCCCTGTGGGGTGACCGCGAGTTTTCTCGTTCAGCTTTTCGCGTTTTCTTTTTTCCTTCTGGCCGCCTCGCCTATTTTTTGGGACGGCGGCCTGCATGCCGCCCTCGAATCTCGATTCTTTTGTTCGAAGTGGGGAGAGCTTGGCAATGGACTGTGGAGCTGGGGGATTCTTTTCAGTCGCTTGGGGAGCTTTTTTGTTCTGGGGGAAAGTTTGCTTTGGCCCGGGTATGGCTTTTGAAGAATTGCACCCGCAGGGCGTTTGCGCTGCAGCATTCTGTGCAGTCTGGCTGCTGCGGGTGGCGCTGTGCACATTACATTCAAATTTGAATTTCAAATTCTTTGAAAAGCTGCAGTGCTATTTGGCAGCCGACCGGGTGGGCGGGTAGAATGTTGCTCACATGCCATGCAAATCTGGTGGAAACGGATCACTCACGTGCAGGCGTTTGAGTGACTGTGCACATGCAAAGGCGAGTGGAGCGATGCAGGATCCAAAGTGGATCTAAGCTGGTGCCGCTGTGCTCTGAGTTTTACCGTGGTGGACCTCCCGTGAAGCGTGTGCGGAGAGTGGAGTGACAATTCTTTGTAACGAAAGTCAAGATATGTTGCATGCCGAGCGCTCACTCCCGAGCGTAGCAGTAGAACATGCAGCGCAGCGCAGTATGTGCAGCAATTTACTGCACATTGTGAGCACAACATGTTGCTGCCTTGCTGGACTTCGAACTGTTGAGTTGCCACAGGTGTAGGAATCCGAGTGGCGGATCTGCAATTCGGCCTCGATCTTTTCACCTATCCTTCAAGTCTGCTGTTCGCCGTTGATCCTTCTGGAAAGAACAAAAGCATGGCGATTCTGCAAAGCTGCAGTCTTCGAAGTTGAAAGCAGCCGGCACTGCCCTCCATGTATCCCTTTGCCAGGCAGCTCCAATCCATGCCGCGGTTGCCCTCCAGGCCTACAGCCGACAACTCCTGCCGACATCCTCCAGGCGAGAGTTTCATCGGCGATTTGCAGTCAGGCAGCAATTGAGCAGTCTAAAGCGGAGGCGCACACCACGAAAGAGTTCGCCTCCTCGTCAAAATCTATCAATTACATTTGTCAGGAAAGAATTCGCGGGGAAGGGGCACTGCGTTGGATTGGGCGCAGCACAGCAGGCGCAATGGCGCAGGCACGGAGCAAGGCGCCGTGGCACATCGACGCTGGGGCAGCCCAGGGGAGCCGATGCACCAGAACACCGCCGTGGAGTCTCAGAGCTCTTGAACATGTTCCCCATAGCGCACTTTTTTTCGAAGGTGACAGACGCCCAACTGCCCCACAGCACTGAGTCATCCATGTTTAAACGCTGCGTTGTTACATTGTGCAACCCATTCCACATCTGTCCCATGAATGGAACTCAATGTCATCCCTTTCCCATCGCTGTTCATGATCTGCTTGCGTTCATGCGCACGTAAAACAATCTGTCAATTTTGGTACATTACCGTCAATTTGACGTCAAAATCAAACCCCGCCCCTCACCCCCCAACCCCTAGCCCCTCCCTGCGTGACTCTTCCCGCTAGGCTAGCGACTTCCCTAAAGGAGGCCTTTTATCATCTTTTGCGGGCATGGAAAAAAGCCTCACACTCGCGTGCTGTGGAAGGGGTTGGCGAATGTACTACATTATGGCATGTTTTCATTGACCTGTAACAAATCTTACCTCCTTCCGCCGGACCCCTCCCCTCGCCCCCGCACTGCATGGCAAGCGATGCGGGCAGCCTAGTATACAATCAGCTGAGACTATACGGGGATTTTGGTGAAGATTGAAAGCTTGGGAGAGGTATTAAGACAAGACATGAGTTCTTTTGCCAAATTTTAGCAGCGTTTTCAGCATGCTAAAAGCTTATGTCAGTTTTGTGGCAATTAGTCTCTTAGCGTCACAGGTCGCCCTTTAACGTCAAACCGTGGAAAGCGTACCAGATTCTACCCCCCCCCCCCAGTTAGCGCCAATCTTTACATCGATCCAAGGAAGACTCAGCACCATTACCCAATAGCTTTACACAAATTTCAACATGTTCTTAAGGAAGATAATAGCTAGAGTTTCAGTGATTATAGAGGAACACAAAATGAGATTCGAAAGCCCATAGCATATTCTAGACCTGTGGTTGTCGGACAATGTCACGAAACGGAGCATGGCTAGCGGAAGTTCTGCATTTATGGTTTGGATGTGGTGGATATATTTGTTATGTAAATCGTGAATGATGCGCTCCTAACAGCTGCGGCATGAAAGAAAATAGCGCAACGAATTTGCCAAGGTGGGTAGCAGCCTCAAGTCGTCTGACATGTTCAGGCGCGATCTTGCGATGGGTCTGTCAGAAAATGTGACTGAGGGAGCTGCAGCAAGCGTATGCGAGGTAGAGCACCTTAGAGCTGCATGAGCATCTGCACTTTCGTGAAAGACCGCTTCCTTTCACAGTCGCCGCTGCGAAGGCAGGGGGAGAAGGCTGGTTGAGCAAACAGACTGGATGATTAATTCTGCACGTCATAACTGAGAAATATTTGAGGTATTTCTTACTTATCATTGGCCCCCCAAAGTACGGAACAATGCACATATTTAACAGGAGTGCTGCATTAACGCAGTACTCGTGCTCGCAATTACTTCCAAACGCGTCAGATCTCCTCAAGAAGGCCTCTGTGGTGGCATAACTGGCTGGCTGCAATCTGGGGCATTTGGCAGCTTCCAGGAAAGGCGCGTATCTCAAAACCCCTGAGAAATGTCAACATTTTGGATGCAGCGTTGGGCACGCTCTGAATATGAGCTCCACATTCTAAAGTGCCTGTGTGATTTGTGTTATTCAACACGTGGTCGCGGGCATGGGAAAAGATTAGCGATGATGCGGCATTGTTGCACGATGCTTCTGGCTCCTAAACACGCACGCAATGGCAGCCACATCATGTGATGTGATGTGATGTCATGTCATGTCATGCGATGTGATGAGATATGTGAATCTTAGGAACACTGGCGCTAGCATAGGGAAGGGGTTTGCATCAGTCTTGGTGCTTGATGTTCCAACAACGAAAGAGCGACTTTCTCTTCCGCGGCGCACTGTGGCGAACGCTTATGGAGCGGCGGCTTTTGCCTGCAGCCTTGGCACGCATTTTGGCCGCGACATGCAAAGCGCTTGAAGTGCACCGCCGCTAAGGCTCATATGCTCATGTCCAATGGGCTTCTCATGCTCGAGCAGAGCAAAAAGTTGCTCACTTATTGTCTCAGAGTAATATATGGTGGTCCGCTGTCAAGCGCTGAGGATAGGTGCCCCTGTGGGCGGGGCTCTTCTTCTCCGGCATATCCATTTGACTCCTTGTTGAGTCTCCATTGTGCTGCGTGGTGCCTGTGCCGCTCCAGGTGTCATTCCATGCTGTAGATTCCGGTGGTGTTTTCATGTGCATGGGCACCTGACATGGCCCAGGCGCTGCCAAAGGCAAAGCACCTTTCACCTGGCTTGCGTGGGGGAGGGAGGCCGCAGCCTCTCTCACCCGCGCACGCAAACAATGATGGTTAATAACCGCAATGACCACATATTTGTGACAATGATTACGCTTGCGCAAAAAGCGGCTATCAGCTAGGGCCCACGGGCCTGCTGCGCTGCTGCATGCGCCGACGCCACCCCACGTGCGGCTTTCGCAGGCGCACGTCTGTGATCCCGGCTTTCCAGAACGGCCTGGGGCATGTAGATGCCCCAGGCCAGTGGGCAGTCCCTGGATACATCACTTGCATCCTCCCTCACCCGTGCCCCACACGCGGGGGTGGGCCGCGCCCTCGGCCCGTGGCCGAATTTTCCGCATCCAACGTTATCGCCCCCCGGGGGCTTCAGTCCCCTTTGCGCACACAGCCAACCCCACGGCAGCCACCCCAAGCCAAACACCCCTACGGGCGCAAATGTACCTAAGAGGTATTTTTCCGGAGGTGCGTCACTGTCCCATGTCCTATGAGCCCTACCTACCGCTCGTTCCTGCCCATCCAAGGGAAGACCCCCTTATGTATCCCACCCCCTTGGACACACGTCCTCAAGTTAGGTGGCGCCCGCCTCGTTCTTTCGCTTTTGCTTGTTTTCCTCCCCCCTCTCGAGCCACCAGCCTCTCGACTTCCCAGCCTGTCCATCCAGGCGCGGGGCTGCTCCAACATATCTCTCCCCATTATGGGCCACCTAGCTCTAAATCGTACGCGACCCCAAGCACATCGCGCACTTTGAAGCCCTCGTCTCGATGGGGGGGGCGGCCTCCGCCTCTTGAAGAAGTAATTTGCGCTTTTTGGCTGGTGCTTCCCCGCCCCGCTGAGGTCGGCCGCCCTTCGAGGTTGTTCGCCGCCACCCGCTGAAGCCTTCAGCCGCCGTCCCCATTGCGAATACGCTGGACCAGCTGTGGAGTCATTATCAAATTGCCAAGTGCTGAGCTCAAATCACCGGACACGGGATTTGGCGTTTCTTGGGAAATAAATGGCGAAACTCCAACTAAGGCTTCAATTTTTGGAATTCAGGGACATCTTGACTCACAGGCTGGGTTGATTCCATAAGTGCATCATACTGATGCTAATTCAGGGAACTACATCACTGC